ATCTGACAGGCGAACCCCAGTTCAACTGCTATTTTTAGTGAGAGGATACCGAGGATACCCCAGTTTTTGGAGAAACCCTTGGGCATCATGTTTGAAAAGGTTGCACATGAAACATACAAAAATAAAAGGCTTAATATTCCCCATACAACGCTTGGTTATATATGGATGTGTCCTAAAATGGGGATACCCCCAAATCATCAATTTCAATGGTTTTTTTCATCATAGCATTCATTTTGGGGTACCCCCATTTAAAGAAACCCCCATTCATCTGGCTGAACTGGCCATGGTTTCAGATGATTCCCCCACATTCAGCATCATTCCAGTGACGTTACGACGTGAGGTCGCAACATAATTCATCCAGATATGATATTATGCCTATCATATATAATCATATATATATATATATTAAATCCTAATGATCATAAACCCTTGTTAATCAATAATAGCATTGATTATGAACCATTACAGCTGGAGTAGTAATCCCATTGTCATCTTCATCCCCACTACAACATCAAAGTGGCTAAATGTCTAGAAATGGACTACAGTATCCATCATTTATGGCCATCAAATCATAGGGGAAACTCTGTGTGTGTGTGTTTTTGTCTAAGTGGATGGACTGAGGAAAAAAAAACTCAAAAAAATCAGGTAGCAAACCACCAAACCGAAGTGCCAAGTTGCTAAGGATGAAACTGTAAAACCACTTTCCATGATTGCCATTCTCCCTGAACCATTTCTTCCTTGAGAGCAGGAAGAGACCGTTGAGACCGGATTAAAGATTTTCGGAAAAATGTCGTAAAAATATGGGGACTGTAACCCCAAGACATGTCCGGAAAAGATGGGGATAGAAAAATGGAGATACCCTCTGGTTTCATCAAACATCGCAATGCACAATCTCCAATTTATAGATGTTTCCCCCATGCAAGCCTTCTTTTTTTGGGATTTCCCATTGCTATGTTTGATTACGGGAGGGTAGTGGGTATGAGTCACAAGTATGAAACACAATATACTAATTGATATACCCGGTACAAAAGTTCTGCCATAGATTTTAGTACCAGCCATTTTGCATCCATTTGGGCAAGGGTCACAAGCTGGCCAATGCCTCGTGAAAACCACACACAGCTGTTGAATAGATGTTCATCCCTATTTAAGATTCAAGGGGTACACATCCTCATCAAACTGGCAAACAAAAGTAACGACAGTACTTAAAATTTACCAAGTTTTGATGAGCCACCCATCACTGTCAATTTCAAAATTTTAGGTGTTACCCTCCGGTAATCAAACATGGACATGGACAATCCCCGCTTTTTAGATGATTCTTCCATTAAGACCTGTTTTCATACAGGAATTTCCATTGCCATGTTTGATTGAAAGAGGGTAGACCCCAATCTTTCTAGTCAGACCCCAAACCCAAAAATCCAATTTCTTGTAGCTAGAACATCTTAGATCCCTCCTTTTGTTTCTTAGATGCCCGTTGTTGTTTCGTTTTTTTTGTCCAAATCATTTTCTCATGTTTTTCCGGTTTCACCTGAAGATTTTGAAGCAGCACAATCATGTGTGCCACAATGAAAACAAGGTATATGGGCTATGGTCGTCCATCATCATTCAAGAGTCTCATTACTCGTGGACTATAAATCCATCTTTTGACGATGGCACGTTGGGCTATAACCTCAGGAATAAGTAGGGTAAGCAGGCTTAGTCCTTTTATTTTCAATCAACGTCACAAATGGTCAAACAATGATATACCCTCTGGTAATTTAACATAGCTATTGACAATTGCCATAGAAATAGTTGATTTACCCAGCTATAAAATTCTTATTTTCCATAGGTATGTTGTGTCATTCATCCCACAATGGGAATCCAAACATTATGGCCATGAGCAAACTGTTAGATTACCCGATGAGCAAAACATAGCCCCCATGACATCCCCCGGCTCACCATTTTCCATGCAAACAAAACTCACCCTTCTACCCATGAAAAAAAAAAACTGCATATAGCGCACGTTCTCCCTGTGGGCAATTCAGCCCAGATTCTTGTTGGTTAAACATGTTAAACCACCATTTCTGTTGGTGAATGTCATTCGACCAAACAATAAACCATCCCATCTACCGACCAGTTGCGGGTCATTTTCCAGCATCCCATTGATAGGGGTATAGCCAATTTCATAGACCTCTATTGGGGATGATTTATCATAGTTATCCCATTATCATCCCAGTATTATCCAATAATAAGCCAAGATTCTTGTGTTTACCATCATTTGTGGTATTATCGGGTTTACTACATGTTTGTATTATCAATATCAACTATCTGTCATATGCTATTATGTATTTAGAATCCCCAGTGAAAAATATCATCCTGTTGTCGATATCAATATATGTATAATTATGTATATATAATTATATGCATGGTCCAATGTGTATATTTATATGTAATACCACTATTATTCTATGACTATATCATGATTATCCCATGATTACCCCATATTCTTATGTTTACCATCATT